TGTTTTTTGCATTTTTTTTTTCCTCTTTGTTTTTTAAATAAAAATTTAAAACTCGTTTAACCTAAATTTTACCCTTTGTAAAAAAATAAAGCCCCCCCCCCCCCCCCCCCCTCCTATCTGTCCATAAATCCCCAAACCCAACCCCTCCCAAGGCAAAAACCAGGAGAAAGATCAGGAAAAGATGCACCTCAACAACGCCCCCCGATTCACATACTCTACCTCTACCTCAGCAGACCCCATCCTCTCCTCCTCCACCTGGACCGACATTCTAACGCCCGAGTTCCTCGCGCACAAAGACCAGCCCAGAACCCCCGACGCACCGACCTGGTGGCTTGATGTTCGCGATGCCACGGAGCAGGACGTCGAGGTGCTCTCGCAGGCATTGAATATCCATCCCCTCACGGTGGAGGATATCGTGACCCGCGAGACGAGGGAGAAGGTGGAGGTGTTTCGGAATTATTATCTGATTTCGTTCCAGACGCTGGTTACGTTTTTGGATGAGAATGGGGATGATGATCATGAGGAAGGAGAGGAGGGAGGTGTTGGGGGAGGTCAAGGGGCAGGGGATGAGAAAGAAGAGAAGAAGAGGAAGAAAAAGGAGAAGAAGGAGAAGAGTCTGTTTCATGTGCCGACTATCACGTCTAAGACGCCCGCTTCGGCGGTGTTCTTCATTCTGGTGTTTAATACCGGGACGGTCACTTTCTCGCCGAGTGGGTGCAGCCATGTTCGGAGGGTTAGGGATCGCGTGAGGAAACTTCATGATGAGACTGTCTTGTCGAGTGACTGGATTTGTTATGCTTTGATGTATGTGTCACCTTTCCAGATCCCTGATTATCATCTGTTCATGTCAACCTTATCTCTGAAGGAAGACACATCCATGTCACCTCACCCATAACCTATGAGAGACAGTTAGCTAACAAAAAACAGCGACGACATCGTCGACTCCTTCGAACCCTACCGCCACTCGGCGGAGCTCGAATCCGAATCCATCGAAGACTCCGTCTTCATCGCGCGCTTCGACGACGTAAAATCCCTAATCCCGCGCATCGACAACCTCCGCAAACGCATCACGCACCTCATCCGCTGCCTCACCGGTAAACTCGACGTTCTGAACGGATTCGTCAAACGCTGCCAAGCCAAAGACAAGAACCCCGTCTTCCCAGATGGAGACTTCATCCTGTACCTTGGTGACGTGCAAGATCATCTCGTGACGACATTGCAGAGTCTGTCGCATTTCGATGAGATTGTGAGTCGGTCGCAGTCGAATTGTTTGGCGCAGTTGAGTGCGAATAATTTGCGGTTGAGTTTGAATATTAATTCGGTGTTGAGTAAGGTTACCGTGCTCGCGACGATCTTTGTGCCGATGCATGTTGTGACGGGGTTGTTTGGGATGAATGTGGAGGTGCCGGGGCAGGAGGTTAGTGGGTTGGGGTGGTTTTTTGGGATCGTGGGGGGTTTTGTGGCGTTTATGGTGATCTCGTGTGTGGTGGCTTGGAGGTATAAACTTCTTTGAGAGATTGGGTAGAGGTGTTGGGATGGGTGGAGTAGAGTAGATTGCGCGTTTGATTTTGTTTTGTTTTCATGAAGGATGCACTGCAGGAGGTTCGACGCCATCCTGGTATTCATCTCGGTATGATTGTCTGGGCCATATAGCAGCCAAATGGTGGATTAAATGGGTATAGAGCAGCTTGCTCTTTTCCTTGGAAAGCATGATTAACATCATCTGCCTAACTGCAGGCCGCTTAATTAGATTTGAAGCTAGAATAAAATAATGCTGTACAACTCTGTACCGCTACTAAACTTGACAGCTCAAACGTAAACAATGTGATCGAAATGTTCAATATGTCAAAAGAAATTGACAAACCGCAATGCACCATCGTTCTGTATCACTAAACACCAAATGTACCCCCTTCGGGAACATCCAAATGCGCACATCCATTCCAGTCACAAGTATTCTGGAATAAAACCGTTAGCTGATCTGAAAGATAAACAGGGATGCACGGAAGGGAATACCTTATGAACTTCCATTCCCCACCAACTGAATCCTTTCGACGCCCCGCTATAAAAGATCGCAAAGAAGATCACGACTCCTGCAATGGAAACCGAAGAATCCAGTGCTGCACTCAGAACGAAGTTATACTTGAACCACCACCCGTACACCTTCCTTCTCAAACCCCATCCAAAGGCCAATCCCACGAGCGCCCAACTGCCGTAGTTCGTTCCCGTCGCCGGAGGGAGATAGTTCAGTCCGCCGAGGAACAGGGGGATGTGCACGCGACGCCAGAGAGAGTTGGGATACCGGCGTTTGAGCAAGAAGACAGGAATGGGGAGCACGGCGCCTATGATGAAAAAGTACAGTAGAGCGGAGTAGCCCACCTGGCTCCTGAAGTAGCGGCGAGGGCCGATGGCGCCCCAGATCAGACTGGTGTTGAAGTGGGTGCGAGAGAAGGGACAGGAGAAGCCGTTGAGGGCGTCAGAAGTGCAGGCACCTTCGATATGCCCGAGCGCCCAGGTGAGTACGCTGGCCGAGCTGAGTGTCCCGGCGATCATGCCGACGCATTGGACGAGGAAGAGGCTGCGAGGGGGGATCTATATGATATTAGTGGATTCATCAAGAGGAGTGATATAAGAAAGTCGGTGCGTACGTTGCAGTATTGAGCTAGTTTCATGTCCTCGGCAAACCATAATCCCTTGATGGTGCTGATGTAGCCGAGGTCGAAAAACCAGATATTGGCGAGGACTTTACCCTCAAAGACGAATCCCGCGACGATGCGGCAGAAGATATCGATCTTGATCTTAAGACTAGAGGAGCCATAGACCAGGGCGAGCTAATATTGTGAGTAAATTGTTTGTTTGGCATGGGGTAATAAACTTACCGGACCGAAAAACACCAGTGCGACAGCCCAAGCCAGAAGAACACCATACCATCGTAGCTCGGTTTCCCACCACTCGACGGCGAAGATGGTCATAAAAAAGGCGAGAATGGAAGCAATCAGATACCACCACATAGGCACGTCGGCACTATCTGTCCTCTCCTCGGATGTATCTCGTTTCCATGATTGAGTTAAAAGTTTAGGAAGGTTGCGTGCTGCGGAGGCCAAGACATGGCGTTTCTCGAGGATCACCCAGACGAGCAGTGAGCTTAGCGTTGCAAAAGACAGGCCGAACGAGTTCAATGAGTAGACAATAGGCATGTAGACGGGGGAGTAAGCAAGGTATTTCTCCACATCCAGTTTATAATTAGTAGCTGCGCTGACGACCTTGGCTACTTTGTACTTTCCTCCAGTGTTGTCGTAAACTTGTCTTGGTTAGAATGCCTCAAAGGAGCAAAGGTGGAAGGTGCGTACTGGACGAGCTTTGGAAAGGTAAATACCCAGAAAACCAGACATTGGTATAATAACAGGCTACCGCCACGATCCAAATCCAAAACACCAAGCCAATAAAGACGTTTACAATGGCCCAGGACGGAATCAAGAGAGGCGAGCCAACGTATGAGATTTGACTCCCTGAATGGAATTAGCTTGATCCTCAAAGTCGAACAAGTGCCACTCACAGTCAAATGTCAAAGGTAACAACCCCATGCCGGTTTTCATTCCGAAGATTTGGTTTACAATCTTACTCTTCGGATTGATCCAACACGGGAAGGTGAAGTAACCTAGAGCCGGGAAGAGGAAGTCTGGGAGCCAGTACCAGCAGAACGAAAGGCAAAATACGACGCTGAAAAAGGCATATCGTGAGATCTTCCATGTACTTGCGCTGTTTCAGGAATTGCATTAGCATGTGTCAGGGACATGAGGTCGTGCAACATACAATTGGTCGCCCCGGCCGACGTGATGAAGGGTCGTTGTTAATGAAGTTGTACTCAAGACTCCGGGCCAGATGAGCTCCGTAGGAATGACGACGACCGAACGGAAAAGACCCGCAAGACAAAAGCCCGTGAGAAATGTCCCCATTGTAATTAAGATCTTAAACCCCCAGCCGGTCTTGAGCCCGTAAAACATCTCTTGTTCGGTCAAGACGTCGGCACCGAGACGGACGTAGATGCTGAGGTTGGACATGATGTAGATGAGGATGTGTTCCTACGCGTCAATCAACATTAGTCGCGCGTCATCATAGGATGCGGTTTTGTGTTTCATGAAAACATGCCTTTTGATTGAACTTGCCAGGGTTCAGGTTGAAGCTCCAACTCCCCAAAGGAACATTCCAGCTCGGAATGACCTTCTCCCATAATTTACCAAGAGGATAAGTCAGCAAGAGAACGACAGAAGCCGAGATCGTGATGGAGGGAACTCGAAGCGTATACAGCGTGTTCAGACCACTGGCAACGAGACAGAACGCAATTCCTAGAAGCCACATGCGCAGTGTCAGGACAGGCTCCGTCGGGTCATCCTCTTGGATACCAATTCCTGCTGCTCGCAAGACATCTGACTGCGAGTCTGTCGGATTCAGGGGTTAATCAGTGTGTTCAATCCCACAGTGCAGAAAATCTCCTTACCATCGACGATCTTTTCCGACGAGACGGACGACGACTCGTTGGTATCTACACCCTGCTTATGGTCGACCGTCATTTTCGCGCTGTCATTCAACCTTGGACCGAGCGAACGAGAAGGACAGGAGATATCTGATCAGATATATCCCATCAGATAAGATTTTGCAACCTGACACGGCCTTCCGAAATTCCACTGGCATCAGGAAATCAGGATCCGGAGGTTGCGTGCCAGTGGATCCTCGCAGGGTCTCCACTCGGCCTCACTCCGGTGACTAGTAGCCCTACGAGGAGACAAGCGTCAGGGGTGGAGGATGAGTTCGCCACGAGATTGGCACAAATGGTGTCTGCCTAATCCTAGGAGAATCTTGTCTCAGCGCCATTCCGCACTGCAACCCGTGTGGCCTTGTTTCTCCGGAACATGGTTGTGTCCTCGGGTGCAGAGCACCAAATCGCACATTGGGAGCAGACTTCTATCGGGATCCGTGAAAGCGAGTTCGAGATCTCGAAATCCTTGAGTTTTGCATCTACAGTAATGAGAATTTTCCACCCATCGAGCAAAATTCCGGACATGTCACCTGATTCTGGGTAAAGACAACAGGGCATGCGCAGGAGCACGAAATGGGTCCCACGCCCCTCGAGTAAATTATTGCTTGTTTTCCATTGGCAACTTGGCAGGGACGAGACGTAATGGCTAAGCTTCTCGCAGTGGTTCCCTGGTCCGAGCAACCGATTATCGGCGTCTTTTATTGGAACAGGGTTTAGCCGAGGAGAAATGAGTCCAGAATGTGGACTCGTCGGAAAGATTTGGAAATGTAACGGTGGGATATCACGGGCCCTTATCTCAAGATGAGGGAATTAATGATTGATGATTATAGACAGGGAAAAGGACTATCTTATCAGATGATTGATCCTGACCGGATAATTAGAGCGACTTGGCGATAAAATCTGATGGGGTTTGATGAGGGGAAAGGAGGGAGAGGGGAGAGAGGGAGGAGGGAAATGAGGGTCAGCCCTACAGCCTTACCAGTGGGTCACGGCCAGGCGAAGCTTTTCCCCTCCACCTGACTTGGGGACGCCTGGGAACTGGGAAAACTTTTACCAACCTGGCTGCAGACGTGATCAATAATCCAGAATATTCGTGGTCAGAATCAATTTTGAGTAAATTCGGATGAATATGGGAGCAGTTGCTAAGGAGAGGCCGTTTATGGTGTTGTGCAGTTGTACAAGTTGTGCGCATAGGCTGGGCATTTATGCCTCAGGCATGAAATGCATCGATGGTTTGCCGAGGACGAGATTGTGTCTTCTGGCATCATCAGGCCACTACACAAATTGACCGTTTCTTGGTTTGGTGTCACCGATGATGCCTTTCTCCCGGAACAACCCGATAAGTCTTGCATTTGCATTCAATTCACCCAGTCGACGCTGGGTTCTACCAACGTCTGCAACGTGAGAATGAGGCTTGAGAAGTTCAGAAATGAACAACCACCGATAAACGCCTTGCACGGCTGTGTCACGTGCAAGAGCACTCTTCTTTCCAGCAATTGCCGCACGCTAGGACTAGATCCATAGGACGTGAAAAGCTCGTTTGGGGCAAAGAAGAGATGCCGAAGTTTTTCCGGATCGGAGGCCCAACCCGGCGTGAGCTTACTATATCATGACTCAGCGTGTTTATGAACTTGTCTCATCCGGCAGTAAAGATTCAAGTCTAACGACTCCAGTCTTCCCTTGCGTTATCTTCTTGTTTGCCTTTCCAGAGAGCGTACGAAACCTACTCTTATCTATAGGATGTCCAAAGAACCCACCTCTGAGGCCGTTCGCCTACCCACTGTCGCTGAGATCGAGGCTGCGACAGAACTCCATCCGCCAAAGTCGTCCGGGTGAACAAGGATTTCGCGGTGAAAATGGGGCATGGCGTAACCATGATCGAGGCTGAAAACATGAAACATCTCGCAGAAAACAGCAAAGTGCCAGTGCCCAAAGTTCACGCCGCCTTCAAGGACCCTGACACTAACAAAACCTATATTATTATGCAATATATCCAGGGTGATACCCTCCAGAAGTTATTGCCATCCCTCAGTAAGAGTGAGAAGGTGACGATATGCAATCTGCTCAAAGATTCAATTGTGGAACTACGGAGTATACCGCCACTAGATTACTTCGGGATGTTGAATCGCCAGCCGTACCTTGACGGGGTGTTCTGGACTGATGGGTTGGACCCCAAGATATCAGGCCCTTTCACAAATCAGGCAGAAATGAATCTTGCCATCATCGAGAAACTGCGCCAGACGGAATCAGACCCGTATATCCGATTGTTGCGGAATATGGTTGACCGGACTCTGCATTGCTTTCACTCACGGTGATCTTCAGCCGAAGAACATAATGATTGAAAGGCTCGGTGATCGTGACGGGTGCCCGGACTATAGGATCAGTCTACTGGATTGGGAAAGCGCGGGGTGGTATCCGGAGTTCTGGGACATCCGCAATGCTACAATCGCCTGTAGGTTCAAACCCGACTGGCTTGAATTTGTGCCCGATATACTGGACTAGTACCCGGTAGAATTCCTCATGATGCAGGTGGTGTATTATTCTGTGTTTTACTAGGTAAATAAGAGATAGAGACGATCGAATTAGGCTCAGGGATAGGGCGTGTAGTGAAACCTACGGTTGGTCAGAGGAAGCTGGTACAGAATAGAGAGAACTAAGTGAACATTGACTGAGTGAGCGAGCTCGTGGACTTAGTTAGAGAACAGAAAGATGATAGATACACGTGAACAACTCATATAGCCCCTCACTAGTGGAATATCACTTATTCCAATACTGAGCGCTTAACCATATTCGTAACAGGGCGCAAATGGTATGTTGTGTAAAACGTAAATATATCCTTAGTCCCAAAATGTTGATATATCAAGTACTACAAGGACTGAACCATCAGTCAGCCTGACTTTTTAGTCTAATTAGAAATCCGAACGATTATCAACATTATAATCATACCCATATAGATACCCAAATTATCTACACAAAAGAAAAGTGGAAAAGTAGCAAACATAAACAGCCTCTCCACCCCCCGTGGGGACCGTAAGAAATAGCCAACATCCTAGTATTGTCGTCGATAGTCTCCAGGTGCTCCAGCTAGGAGATAAAGAAGGCTAGGTTTTCGTTAGCTCGAGAAGTTGCTGGAAGAGAATATTTGTTCTAGAATTTAGAGCTTGATATTCTGTGCGATCATCAGGCTTGTGGTTTTTAAAGCTTGTATGTAGATCTAAATATATTACCTACACCTCTAATACAAATGTATACAAGTGTTTAGTGGATTCCATTATCTGTCTCTAGAATCTCAAAGGGATCTTCCCACATATCCGCGGAAGATCCAACTTGTTTTGCTCTTTTCATAGCCCCCATTTTCATATAAAAGCAACCGATCTAGATCTTTCCTTTCACCCTCCCATTGCTCGATTGCCACACCTTGTGCAGTGCATTTTCGTCAATTCTATCAAAGAAGGAATATCGGGAGCCATCTATCTGTCCTCGTGACCTGCGATGACCACCCCCCGCAAAAAGCCACCTAGGCACGATCAGAGAGTGTACAATTCCTCAATGTTCACATTTCTGGTGGGAAAAAACCACAAGCCTTTTAACATCCATTCCGAGCTTCTTCGGACGCAATCACCCCCACTGCATGCCTTGATGAACAACGATCAGATGGAGGAGTCTCGTGTAGGCGTTGCAGTCCTAGAGGACGATGAGGTTGAAGTCTTCAATGCATTTTGCCACTATGCCTACACAGGAGTCATCCACTCGCCAGTAATTGCTCTACAGACTGTTTATCCAGACCAGTCAGGTGACGCGACAATGGAAGATAGCGATGAAGACGACGAGAACAAGCAGAAAGCCAAACCGATCTTCAGTTCGCGAAATCTGAAGTTTTATGCTCAGCTGTACTTCTTCGCAACCAAGTACCTTTTTGAGGACCTCCGGGCATGCGCTCGCCACCATGTATGGGAGATTTTAACCGATGATGATGGTTTCGGTGGAAACGCGGCCGTGTATTTGGACTTTCTCAAATACGTATATGAAAATACATCGTGCGACGAACCTGGTGGCTCCTTGCTTCGGATAACAGTAACCAGTTTCATCTCGGATTACCTGACCCGTGCTGACAAGAAATTGCCTTTCGAGGAGCTCTTTCTCTCTGGTGGGGAGGTCACTCGAGATGTGGTATATAGATTACTAGCTACTATTAACGATACTGGGAAGGAATCTGACTCTGATTAATGAAAGAGTATGTGACCTGCCCTTTTTTGCTTGCTTCTTGCGGTCTTACCTTGTGTTTTCGTAATGAGCAAAGAAGACAGGTTGTGGATTATACAACCATAGAATGATCGGAATAAGATTCTTTCACATCTTTTTTCTTTTCTCTTCGTATCTATTTACAGTGGTAATTTGAGTGTAAACAGAAAGTTAAGTCTCGAGCATGGTATATGCCTATTCAGTAGCTGTAGTTATAACTCTGACCAACGTCCTTTTGAAGCCCTGAATGCTTAGTGAGTCAATACCCCATGATCAATGTGTTTTGGTTTGCATGCAAGGGTAGATTCACCGAGATTATAAAGCTTTGACTCGACCAAAACACCGTTATAAATACCAAATGCCACATCTACGATTAGCGGCTGTAGCGAGCTATGATCAAAGACATCTATCTCGTTTCTACAATAAAGAAGAGTCAAATTCAACATGGCCTTTGATACTTATGAGAGGCAAAGGTGGAAGCAATGGTTTAATACTAATTATAGACAATAAGGCGCGCTACCAAAATGGACCTGGCAGCATAGCCCTATTAACTCATCGAGAAGGATATGGAGGCATCAGGCCGTGTATTGGAACACGAGTCAAGACTTACATGTTACTCTATCGAAGGACGTTTGCTTCTTCAAGCAGGAGGCAAAACGCAAGAGAAGATCGTTCGGTTACGGCTGGAACAGGATGCACAGTTTGCAAACTCCGCGGAAAACACCCACTTACAGCAACTATTTAAGGAAACCCTTACATTATCCAAATATCACTTGGCTGGAATAGGGACATAAATTGAAAAGTTGAGCGCATAGAAGCTTAATACAATGAGCTTTTCAGATTCTTCAACGCCAATCGGCTCACAAATTCAGGAGAACTTGGATGAGCGCCAGACCAAACTCGCTATTGTCTCTCAAAATCTCCTTGAACCGTTCTTCTGGATACAAAGAACCCGCAAAGGAAGCGACAAATAAAGTAACCAGCTCCCGAAGTGGTGACTCTCCTCCCGGTTCAACATTGCCGGTATGCGCGTAAGTATATTCGAGTAGGTTTAGGATGATTCCGACCGGCCTCGATCTCCTCTCTGCCGCAACTAGATCGCGATGCAGAGAGCTGAGACATAACTGGCGTAAAGGCTCGACGAGATACTTGGTGGCGAAGACGTAAAGCTCAGCATGGAAAAGCAGGTCGGGGGAGTGGGAGTGTGTGGTTGCCACGGGCTCCGTTTGATATTTCAAAAAGTCGAAGCTACCTTCCAATTTCTCCTGTACCCTTCCACTATAGAAATGCTCAATACGAAGACTGCAGGCGGGTTTGCTGTTGACCTTGCCGAGTCGTCGGCCCTTGTCATCGGGCTCGCCGATGAGACTCGGAGTCTTGTATGTGCCAGAGTACGCAAACTCACAGAACCCCACGAAAATATGTGGCTCGACATCTTCAAGAACGGCAACACCAGAGCACGACTCCTTCATTTGTCCATTATTTATGAGCGCTCCCAGGGGGAGCGATGTTCTCTCGATAGGATTTGAATGGACCGTATACTCGGTCTGGTCCTTTCCGACGCGGAAGACAAATAATTGAGGAGACCTGAGAAATCTTGAAGCAGTTAGCAGAGAAGAGCAGAGGCTCCTTGTTTCTTGGAGCAAAAAACTTACGCGTCATAGTCTGGACCCTCGGTGGCTCTATTCGATGGCATTTTGCTTGGTGGTAGAGCACGCTTTTTTGTATCCTTGTTCTGGCTCGAGGAATCTTTAACGGGCGAGGCCAACTTTTTCGGGGAAACCCATGACCAGCACATGAGAAGTGGACAAGCCCAACGAAGAATGAAGCAAATATTTGAAGTGGCGGGTAATGAGTAAAAATGATGTAGGAATGTCGTAGGCAGGGGCAGGCAACTGGGTTAGTTCTTGAGAGTCATGATGATCAAATAACTAAGAGGAGGAAAGCCATATTTATGTGTTCTGAAAGGACCTGTGCACAGAACTGTCTTGGGAGTACTGAATGAGAGATGCAAGGCAGCCAAAATAAGTAGGCAGTGCTGGGTTTTGCCTAAATTGAAAACTCCAGCCCAAGGCTGGAAAGTGATATGGATAATTTCATTAGAGGTATAGGTATAGATGGAAAAGGAATAATCCGAGCAGCTGGCATAGGATGGGCTAGATAACAGGGACCATGATTTGACACAAAGGCTGCCTTCAATCAGAAGTAAACAACTTTACATCTATCAGCGTTTCCACAACATCCTATTACCACCAATTTCTGCCTGATAAATTGCATTCTTCACATCTCCGGCCGTATGAGATTCCATCAGCAGCTTCACTATCGAAAGATTTCCTAGTCGCGATGCCCGGCATAAAGTCAGCGGAAATTCATCATCTTTCTTCCACCCTTCTTGCATGTTATGCTGCAGTAGGAGCATGATCATGTCACGGTTTTGACCCTCAATTGCCGGAAAAAGGATCGTATGCCCGTCCTCACCCCAAACCATCTCATGTCCATGATTATTGAGTAGCAATCATGCCACATTCACACAACCTGTATCGACTGCCCATGTTAGCGCTAAATCCGGAGGACTCATCAATGAGGAATCCGATGGTTTCGGATCCTGGTTTCTGAGAGGCTTTGATGTCGCTTCGAAAAGTATTCTCGATATGCAATTCAGCCCCCTGTTGCGACGCATGTCGAAAGTTCTCCCAAACCGGCCGTCCGTAAGCTGAATCCTGAAGTGGGCATGATTCTTGATATCCATAGTGTGAGTAGCTGACCACTGATCTAGTGATGAAAGCAAAAGAATAGAATAAGAATAAGAAAGAACTCCAGCTAACCGAAAGTCCTCCTTAGTACGCTGAATCTTCCATGCGGCATTGGCAGAAAAAGGGAAACACGAGCTCGCATCCGGTGGTTTTTGACCGTCTACAGGAGCTCTCGGACTCGGACGAGGTGTACGAAGCTATCGACATTCTCATTGCCGGAGCTGATACCACCGCGTCAACTCTCACAACGGGGATCTTTCAGATTCTGTCATGGCCATCCATCCACCACAAGCTACTGAAGGCATTGGAAAAGGTTCAGTCTGATGAACATGGAGCTTTGCGTCTTGCAGAATTGGAGAAATGTGACTACCTAGTAAGTGTCTCCTCAATCTAAGTTCGTTTGTCCGGATAATTGCGCCGAGTAAATGACTAATGAGCTGCAGAACGCCGTGGTGAAAGAATGCATCCGAATCGGAATGGCTGTTCCTGGGAGACTGCCTCGAAAAGTTCCCGAGGGGGATCCGTTCATCGTCGACGGTAAAGTGGTTCCTCCGGGTGTAAGTACACACATATATTTAAAACCACTTCCTCCCTCATCTCTTGCTCTCCCTCTAACCCTTTACTCATACAGATCATCGTTGGAATGTCCACATATACAATGCACACAAGCAAAGAAGCCTAGGGCCCAGATGCCCGTGTATTCAACCCCGACCGATGTTTAACACCCGACAGCAACAAGTTCGAACAATGGATATACACCTTCTGCAAAGGGGCACGGATGTGCATTGGACAAAAGTAAGTCTTCCCCTCTCTGATACTACCATATTCTATTACTGTGCTAATTTGAAATGAAACTTGGTTTAGTGTTGCTCCGGCTGAAATCATATTGGTTCTTGGATATCTCTTCACGCGCTATCATCTGCATTTGCTTAAGGATGATGCGGCGCCGTTGAGGCAGGATGATTTTACTTTGTCGTATCCTGGAGGTTTGCAGATTTCTTTTACTAAGAAGTAAGGGACTAGTTGAGTCTTGGGTTTGACTTTGGGCTCTGTCGAGCTACGTCGATGTTATATGTTGATTTAGGCCTGCCTTTAGAAGAGAATAGATTGTACATACCGCGACCAATATAAAAAGATATTCCTTCTCCTAAAAAGTTTATCGATTGAAGTTGAGATATTTCAGTTCATGATATCCAAGAAAAAAAATAGTAATTGAACCAACAAACAGAAAGGGGCCTTGAATGAAGAATTTTACTTCTCGCATACATACTTGACTCATGAATCTCTAGCCTTTGTCTTATTCTACCTACTCCTACTACCCCAAAACATATACAAGTTTTATCATAATCAAATGAAAATGCGCTTTGGTAACGATCAAATTCCAATGCAGTTCTAAGAGCACTTCAAACCCCCACTATAGCTTCGCCGCAGGCTGCAAGAGATGCTTCATCTCAGCGTTCGGATACTCCACGTTTTCAGACGAATCCGGACGCTGTCGATCCCAGGCCCACTTCTCCTCCAAATCGGGCGTCAACTCGCCTTCCAGCATCTGAACAACATACTTGCCCAGCACGGGGAAGAACTTGTACCCGTGGAAAGAACCGCAAGTGGCGACGTAGAGACCCTTCGAGGCCGAGTGAGGGGAGATGATGAAGTCGGAGGTCGTGGTGAAAGCGTCCCTTTGAGTTGTCAACTACTTGTCAATTGTCATGGACCCTGGAAGTCAGATACTTACCAGCAAATTCGGTGTTTCGTCATGTTCCAGTCCGCGCTCGCGGGCCCATACCATAGATTCCGCGACTCGACGATGTCCTGCCTCAGAGGCCCGGGGACCTTCCACTGGTTGTAGTCGAATGTGGGCGGAGGGGAAGAGATATGACTCCCAGGCACCACTTCTCGAGTGTTTGTGAAGATCTTCGAGCCCCACCATTTCATCTCTCCGTCTTTGGTAGGGGGAAGGGTACCAATAAAGGGCTTGCCTGTGGACAGTTAGCGGTCTTCGCTTTTCATGCGCATACATCAGAAGATCTTACCCTCTTCGGGCGTGTAGCCCTGGAAGCCAACCGGCATGTCCTTGTATTTCTTATACTGCTCCTCATTGAGCTGCGCCATCCCCGTCGTGATACCAGCGGCCAGAATCCGCTCCCCAGCTCGCAAACCAGGATTCCCGCTCACCACAGCACTCCACTCCAACAGAGTGGGCGTGAACGCGCCCGCAGCGACGATAACATGCGTCGCCGACAATATCTGACCCGATTTCGTCTTCACACCAGTACAAGAGCCACGGCCGTCGAATTCCAGCGCGGCAACGTCAGCCGTCACATACTTCACGCCCAACTCAAGGCACCGTTTCGTGACAGCCTTCAGTGAATCGCCAGCAGCAGCCCATCCACTGGCGCGATTGATCAAAACCTCCTTGACGCCGGTGTAGTCGGCGTTATCGAAGATGCCACCATATAGCTTCCGGGCCTCGGCGACCGGTAGAGCGATGATGTCGTCGTCGCGACCGAGCTCCTTATGGTTCGTGATGACATTTTGGGCGTAGCTGCTGCGACAGGTCCAGTAGACGCCGGTCTGGTGGAAATACGGCTGCCAGAGAGGATTCGACTTGAAGATGTCTTGGGCCTCGAGAGCGAGTCGACAGTAGACCTTGTCGTCGTAGTCGGCGCGCACTACCTTGTTCCAGTCCCACGATGCGGCTACGCGAGAGTCGGCGTCGTATGCGTCTCGATCAACTAGAGTCACCGAGGCATTGGGATATTTCTGAATGAGGTGATAGGCCGTGGATACGCCAAAGACGCCGGCGCCGATGATGAGGTAGGAAGCGTTGTTTGAGGTCATGGTGGAAGTGTTTGTAAGGAGCTGCACAATGCGACGGCAGCTGTTTAGGATTGGGGTACGAGGAAAGAGAAGGGACTCGTCAATGGATTGGAGCGGATTGACTTCCTTATCTTTCCCTCCAGACTCCAATAGTCTTCATTGACCGCGACTCTGGTTTGTGCGGGGTTCACGCGGAGCTGGAGAAGAAACGGACCGCGACGGACCGTCGGTCCTGATTGAAGACTGGATGGGGAAGTTGGATGCAGGGGTAATATACAATATATCACCAGGGACAAGCTAGAAGATCCCGCTGCTCGGCACGACCGTACCGGAGCGTGCCAGCAACTGTCTAGACCGCGTAGGTTGAGTTTATGTCAATCGAGTGCGATGATGTCAATCAGTAGATAGCAGTACCCCGCTAAGCCTAATATGGGCATCCGGTCCCTCCGGTCCGGGGACGGTCCGACGGCAAAAAACTTAGCCGGAGGGAACTCTTCGCCGTTTTGGGTTATTCGGAGTACAATGCAACCGATGCCTATAAGTAGAAACACAGATAAGCTTAAATCTATTCTTGGCTAGAGCTACAGAAAGTTTCAAGTCCATACCACGATCAGGTCTATCGTTCTTCTGAACGTGAGAAGAAATGGCAACTAGTAACGGCAACGCTCGAGGAAAGCAGACATGTAGCTATGCAACCACCAATCTCAAACTTGGCAGATAAAGTGAAATTGGATTGAATAATCACTAGAAGAAATGAGCATGAGAGTTCTTGTAAGGGAAAAAGGACCCCTCAGGCGTTGCATATATGACATGGCTAAGGAAATAACTTGGCAGGTTGCACCCCAGGCATCCAAACATGTCCATAATAAACCAAGCTCATCTCCAATAGCTATTTTGAACTACCTACCTGGCCCTAACCCCGTTCTAGTAAGCAAATATATATCATTATGTTCCATCATCAAATCACGCAGATGGTTCGTTTTGATCCTCGTTCAGTAACCGATAAAATTACCTGACGATACCCTTGAGACAATCACATTGGGACATTCGGCCAGGTTTGGCTTCTTTCTCCAGTTCTAGCGCTAGATACTGCCAATCAACGCCCTCTTCACAGAGCACTTTCCGCACCTCAAAGAACAGGTGAATATCAATTCGTGCCTTCCAGTAGGAGTGTGAAAGAGTCCACAGAAGGCTTTCCTGAACCTTTAATAAATCATCATACCCCAGGTAATCCATAATAATGTACTGAATCTCCGCACGTAAGAACTCGATTCTAGATTCCACCAGCAAGAACTGGGGTGACTCCCCAAGTTGACGGTTCTTCTCTATCCCTGCCATCCTGGCTAAATCAATCAAATGTCTGACAAGTTCAGATCCAATCGGATCATCACCTATGGAACAGAAATAATATTTAGCGGCTCATGCAGGTAGTTATCGGCAGACCCAACCTGAAGGATCGAGCGAAGAAAGCTTCTTACCATTATTGAACATCAAACTTAGCATAGCCCAAGGGGTTCCATGGACTCCGCTTTGCAACACGCGACTAAGAACCCCGAGATTCCTGCTCTCCGCATTTAGTCCCAGACACATTTGAATCAACCGCCAACAGACTTAATGAATAAGGTATCCCATGAGTTCCGCACCATCCCTGGACCTCGTTGACTCATCCAGCCACGATATGTTCACAACCGTATGAGAAGCAACTTGAGGGTCGTTTCTTGGTGGGTGTGCTATCATTCCTAGCTCAGGATCCCAGGGAGCTCCAAGCCCTATTGTTCCATCTTCTGAACTGATAGGAAATGACAAATGGCCGATTCCGGTCAAGTGATACTGGTGCGTCTCTGAGTTGTGGATGACTGAAGTAACACCAATATTAGTCTAAGTCTGAGATTAATGTCTGTCAAGTTACTCATTCGGTAGGTGAGCCAGTGATTCGGATCAACCCCAGGCATCATGGTCTCGACATAATCCACTGGGTATACGGACCCCGGCCTAGGTTTGGCTGAAATGTAGGCCTGCGCAGCTCAAAGTCAAAGCTAAAGGCGAAACAACACCCGCAGACCGGGCACGCCGGTTGAAATGGTTGAGATCTGGTAGGGAGGTGCACGCTAGAATTTCTGAAAAACTCTGACATCATTGATACTATTCGTGGCTAGCCTTTCGCAGGGGCAGATAAATTGGAGGATATGTGTGAGGGAGAAAATCTAGGCATCGATGTCATGGTGATGAAGGCTACTATCATGTGCCTGCACCGTAGTCATGCCTTATGTAAAGTGTAGTATAGGGAGTACACAATCAGAAGAAGCGACCACCAAGGTGGATATCTCATATTATAGATGTGCTCGTTCTATAGTAATGTACCTATGTCTACGACTTCATATGACCCTTAGTGAATACTTTTCTACATAGTATCAGTCCTCATTATTCACTCGTCCCTTTCTTGTAGAATTCAAGTATCTCATCCTGACTTCATTATAGAAAAACGCTCTTCCTCTCAGCAAACAACCTCGGATTTCTAGGAGAGCTAAAAGAAACGACCAACGCCCTGAAGGCCTTATAGTCGGGTTATGGGATGTTATATTGAACGAATGGTTCCCAAGCAAGGAAGGGTACAACCACCGAGCACGAAGGGGCTATTCGGATATAACATCAATCCATTGGGTTAGTCCTTCGTCCAGTGTCAATTTTTGATCACCCAAGTGAGAAGGTTCGGGTGTTCCACCCACGACTCGATCTGGCTAGAAGGGGAGACCCAGCTGCCCAGATATCTCAAGAACTTGTTTTTCAAAGACGATATGCGCGGTTTTACCGGTGGGACGACGTGGCGGAGCGGCTGGAGTATATGGACAACTGCTATACGTCCTATGATGTTGAACAGTCAGTCAATGAATCAAGAACTTGAATAGTGAAAAACTCGAGTATCATATACACGACTTCCCCGAGTCTATCACCCAAGAGACGGGGAGCTTATCCTCGAGCGACCTCCTCGTCTGGTCCCTCATCTGGATATAAACCGATAAGCGGTAGTGACGGTCGGTGTTGGAACCATTATTCAGCTGATATGCCTAAGTCATGTGACTCCTTGGCATAGGCAGCTGATATATCTTCAACGAAGCAAGTAGTTTAGAATAACACTTCACTTTTACCCACTGAGCATATACCTACATTCCGTTGAATCGATAGGATATCTGCTTAGGGCAATGACCAAGTCAACCGACAGTCGGTCTACCAGGACAGCATGAACGATGCTCTCGAAAGGATCTCCATGTCTAGTGGCTCTCAATAAGGACAGCAGTCATACATACAAAACCTCTGTACAGAGTAGGCTTTCCCTAGTTACGAGGTATTCAATATTATAAACCACTGTCTCCAAATTGCCGATATCTTCTTCACGGACAGCCAAGGATCACCCTATCTGCGAGATATCAACCTAATCCGTCCCTAGCGGTTTCGTCTTTTTTCTTAATTATGCTAGAATCTATATAGAGGCCTCGAATTTCTGCCTCAACTGAAAAAAAGTGCCAATGTGCAGTAGCCAAATCCTCATATAGGCTGAGGGAATACTCATTGATCCATGGAAGGGTAAGTACAGACACACGTGATAGGCCGGGGCCAACATCACCATGACATCGATGCACAACCTTCTGGCTTCTTTGAACACATACCCTTCCTACTTCATCTACAAGAAGCACTCCAAAAACTCTACAAGTTCATGCCTTTCAGAAGAAACCCCAAACCATATGAAGACTGCCCATACTGCCCGGTGTGTCAATGTGACTTCTTCTCCAAGCATTTTCGGGCCTTCTTTCTGAACGACCCGGAACCTAAACCTATGCCATGCCGAGCGGCTGATGTCGAGAATATGGTCTTTTGGGACTACCCAGATTGTTGGAATCTCTACCGAATGAGTACAGTGGCATATCCTGAACCAAGTCATCGCTTGAAAAAGGTCACAGTACAAACACTAATGTCACTGTAGTCATCTACGAACCAAAGACAGGCCAGTACCACCTCACAGGAATCGCCCAGTGGTGGAGAGGTATATACAACCGGTTTACGGTCCCCTGGGATCCAGAGCAAGGGGTCATAGGGATTCCTAAGGAGAACGATCCGCGATATATCTCTCCGGTGATACTAGACATGCCGTGGAACGATACCCAAGTAACTTCCAAGGCTAGCGAGAGGATAGTAGGCTACCTCATTCACACTGTTTGCTGGCGGCTGATTCAGATGTGTCTGGGACAGAATGTGGGGGAGAAGCGAAATCTAGGGCTTCTTTCTCGCGTTCTGCAGAACAGATATGATAGGATGAGGAAGGATCCAGATGCAAGAATGATTCCAAGAATGATGGAATCGAATCGTACGATGCTTCCTTCCCTAAGCACTACAGTCTACCATGCCTGAACTTCCTCCACATTGACCACCGCGTTAATTTTTTCCGTCTCATAGGAAACCCTATCAAATCTAATCTCGTCCGGTCTTTGATTCAAAGAGCAAAGATGGGAAATGCGGAAAAGGAACGCCGAGCTCGAGTGTCACCTAGGAATCCGCCAGTGGTATCACAACTGGAATTTTTACCTGCAGAAATCCAGTATGCCATCATGGATTACTTGGGATATAAAGACGTATTGAAAGTCCAGAAAGCTCTTCGATGGACCCTCCCAGGGCCCTACTGGAGGACTCGCATTGACACCCGACTTTTCTTTGAGGTGAACGAAGTGCTTGGTGATGAGCGCATTAACTGGCAGTTTCTAGCTCTGCAATTGGAGAAGGGGGAGGCCGGGCCTGCTCGAATATTCCTGTGTGATCTTCTCCAGGATCTCGTCAGGGACTTTAAACGGTTACTGGACGAGGACCAAAGTGAACAATCCGCATGACTTGGTAGGCACGTATCCTTCATATTCGGTAGTTAACGAAAAAATTAATGTAGTTTCTGGAAAAGTTGGAGAAATTCTGTGCTGTAAGATGAAGATGGTTGGGGGCCGGTGATGCAAACTGCCAAGCCATTTTTCATATACGCAAAACTTAGGTAATAGCACCTCGGCTCCTTACAACAACCTTCACGATCATCTCATTCAGTTACTCTATCCTTTTTCTTTTTCTCTTGAGCGGTACATGGACTCGATCAAGGGCCAGCTTGACCGGAGAAGGCATTAGAGTTCCTCAAATATATCATAAAACGGTTTTAAGCGGAGCAAATCCGCCCTGATGACTCATAATCGCAGTCATAGAAGTAGCAAGTTCAACGCAAAGTCAGTTTCAGGTCAGAAATCTGACACCATCAATCTCCAAGCACTCGCAACTATGACACTCACCCTCTTCATCGGCAACAAACGCTACTCTTCATGGTCCATGCGTCCATGGGTCCTCCTCAAATCCCTCGAAATCCCCTTCGAAGAAAAAGTCTATTTCTTCAAACCGGGCGCCGTACAACAAGACTTCCTATCCTTTTCTCCGACAGCCAAAGTGCCCTGTCTACACGATACTCCCACCTCGATCGTTGTCTGGGACTCGCTCGCCATCTGCGAGTACATCGCCGAGAAATACCCCAATTCCTGGCCGGAGGACACTGTTGCGCGTGCGTTTGCTCGAAGTGCGTCTGCCGAGATGCATTCTGGGTTTACGGAGCTTCGGAGCACCTGTCCGATGAATGTTGCATTGGAGGCGGAGTTGGAGGTACGCAGCGAGGGTCTTCAGAAGGATATCGCTCGGCTCAATGCGTTGTTCGAAGAAGGACTGACGAGATTCGGCGGGCCTTGGTTGGCGGGGACGGAATTTACAATCGTCGATGCGATGTTCGCCCCGGTTGCTTCGCGGTGCAGGACTTATGGTATTCAGTTGGAGGGCAGAGCTGGAGAGTATGTGGAGCGGTTATTCCAGCACCTTGCCGTGCAAGAGTGGGTTCGCGGGGGGATTGAGGAAGGAGCACAATATTACGCGAGTCTGCCTTGATTGTACATATTGAGTCAGATGCCATCAGGTTAGCACTGAAACTACCACTTCAGTCAAATAGATCAACGAAGAATTTGAGAATAGCCCACCACCATCAACATGTAACCTCCCGGCTGTATACCTCATCACCCGATTAGGCCTAGCGCATATCCAGACAAAACAAACAAACAAACACTACGTCAGAGGGTCCAAGTCGAGACTGCTTCGGCTTCTACCGAGCGATAAATATCATCCCATTCCAACTCCACTCACCTTCCTCCCGCTCGTCGCCATGTCTGCCAACAGCACCATCCTAGGCGACTCCTGGGTGGTCGAGGCGGCCGCTACGCCGCCGCCAAACAAGCACCGGCACGAGGCCCGACAAGTCTCCAATACTCCAGCCTCGCGTGCCACTCCCGACCAAACAAAGAAACCCCCGTCGTCGCCCCGCGATAAGAGAACTAGTGACTATGGATCCGAGTCCATGGCGACCTCGGTCGAGTCCATCTCCGGCCCGGAGCTGATCATGCCGTCGATCTACGAGACGCCCGTGCCGGAAGCGTCCTGGATAGCGCCGAACGTGCGATCGCCCCAGTACACGATCAAGCGCAGACATCGTGACAGGGAGAGAACGCAGCCCAAATCCTCAAATCCATCCCCGCAGAAAGACCGAAACTCTCAAGGGGACAGCAAACCAAACCACGACCAAGATATCCATCCCCAGAACGCCACAGACAGTGACAACAACAACAACAACACCAACAACAAACCACCTCTCCTCCACCATCTACAACCCACCCTCCGCCTCCTCCTCAACGCCCTCCTCCTCGGCTCAATCGCCCACCTCCTCGTCCTCCCCGAACTCATCACCCAGCACCAAACCTTCTTCTGCTCCATCCCTGCCATCCCATCCCTCTACCCATCCAGCTGCTCACCCCCTCACTTCCACCTCCCTCACAATCCCATCCAATCACTCACCACCACCAGCACCACCACCAAAGCAAGAACTCCCAACCACCCGCCACTCACACCCGAAGAACAACTAAGCCACCACGCCACGCGCCTCGAACGCCTCTTCACATCCACCCTCAACACACTCACCCCGCTCCCTCCGCTTCTCAAACAAGGCGAATCGCAGCTCCGCGCCCTGCAAACCGACATACGCACCGCCTTCCGCGGAAGTCGTCATGAACTGGAACTCGAGTTCTCAGGCCTCTGGGATGCCGCGCGTGCAGGTACCCGGAAACTCGATTCCCTGAGCGCGGATTTACGCTCCGCGGTGGATAATCTGATCGCTACGACTGCCGACACTAAACCGCCACGAGGAGGCGGAGCAGTCGCACCTGCACCCGCCGATGGGGACGTTAGTAAAGGTGGAGGTGGAGGAAAAGGAAAAGGAAAAGGCGGAGGCGGGGAACACGGACATGAAGCGGCTCACGCTAAAGCGCAAGCCCGCGCCGCCCAAATCACATCGGCCCAACTCTCCCGCCGAGAAGCGTATCTCGATCAGCTGACGTCGCGAATGCAAGGGAAGGCTGACGCGCTGGCCAGCGACCTCGCGACCGTAGAGGATCATTTGGAATCGATTGAGAGGATTATTTTGAGAGAAGATGATTCTCCGTCTGCCTCCTCATCCTCCCAACCCCAAGAACAAAACCAAGAAAATATCCACGGAGGAGGAAACCTAGCCAAAAACCTCATCACACACCTCCAATCTCTCCGAACCGAAGGCCTAGGGTTGAAAGCGCTAGGCCTAGGAAGAAGAGGCGGAGGAAAAGGCGTCCACCAACCCCCCTCGTCACACGAGTCCTCGGACCCTTCGAAGCACGAGACCTTCGTGGCCGCAACGAAAGGATATCGCGCTGTCGCGGAGGCGGTCCGAAACCTGTCTCAGCGGTTAGATGCGGTGCAGGGACGGAAGATGTGATCTAATCTTACCTGACCCAACTATTTATCTACGGTTATTTATGATGATTTATTTATGGTTATGGATGTCTTGGATTGATGGTAGTACCTACGGATACTACCTAACTACCTAACTAATGAGTGAGATGACTGATACGAATTAAGTCGAATTGAATTGAATGGAACGAACTGGGTACGATATAATCATCCAACTATCTACTAAGCTCTCTCTGCACCTAATCCTGCACCTGGCTACCTTCGCAGGCTAGTTAGTGAGTTAACTAGTAGTTACAAAGCAGGAGATAGTCAAGCTCGGTTCGACAAAAGATAAGACAAACCACACTCTTTAGGCAATTCCTCCTCATGCGCCCCCGTGACCGTGCGCCTACCTACCTTAGTCCGTTAACTATAGGTTGTCAGGGTCTTTCCTTATCAAACCCAACCCTCATCACAAATGAGACATTTGTAAGACACGCCCAAGACAAGACCGAACAAAAATAAAAATAACCCAACGACCACCAATTTAAGAATCAGATAGTACAAGATCAAATATTCCATATTTAATGAATAAGAAAAAAGCTATTAATATTATCGTGTCAAGTACCAATTGCAGAATGCCAGTCCGACCCAATCCAATCCAATCAATCCATCAAAGACATCACTATGAGTATGAGCCGACTGAACCAGCTAGTCAAGGACCCTTCCATATCCATTCCATTCCATAAATAGCATATCCGTCATCCTTTCCATGGCCGCAAGCCAGCACGAAGACCAATTCAACCAAGACAACCGCAAATAAACAAAGAGCTAAGGTCAAAAATAGACGGTCGCTTTCGAGCTATGGGCAGCTCCGCGCTTTGTTATGTGTCTGACTGTATGTACTTAAAACGACATCAAAAAGGGTGGTTAACGATACAAAGAATCGGCGGGAGTGGATTCAATCCAGCCTCCCTGAAAATAGAAACAAGAAAACGCACGGCCAAAACTCTCCAAAAAATATTACGTTTTGGCGTAAGACTCTCCTCCCCACACCGTTGGCGCCACACTCGTAAATCCCTTACAACTGCAGCATGGCGGTCATCAGACCCAGAATGGCCAAGACCATCGAAGTGCCCGTCGAAGGAGAGGCGGCTCCGTGGAACAGGCTGGGAGAAGGACTGGCACCCGAGACGGAGCCGGAAGGAGAGGGGGTGCCCGAGGGGCTGGCGCCGCCGGCAGGGCTCGAGCCGATGACAGAGCCGGAGCCGGAGCCGGAGCCAGCGCTAGTCTCGCTGCCAGATTGGGCAGAGCCGGTCGAGGTGACGGAGGAAGATCCAGATCCAGAGCCAGAGCCAGGGCCGCCGGTAGTGGCAGCGGCGTCAGTCCCGGAGGCAGTACCAGCACCAGCCCCGGAGGCAGTCTCAGCGCCAGTCGCAGAGGCGGCACCGACGCCGGTACCAGTCGCGGTAGAGCCACCGGTCGTCGTGGCACCGGCAGTAGTAGCGGCCTCGGCCTCGGACTTGGAAGAAGCGGAAGAAACGCTGGTGGCCAAGGTGGTACCGGCGCTGGACTGGGAAGAGGTGGTCGACGACTCGGAGACCTTGGCGTCGCCCTTCTTGATGCTGCCGTAGCTGCCGCTGTTGTCGGTGTAGGTGTAGGACGAGGCGGGGTTGTAGTTGGTGACCTTGACGGACTTGACGTACATGGTGTAGGGAGCGCCGCTGTAGTCAGTCCTACCACCAGCCCACTGGATGGTTCCCTCCTCGTTGTCCGAGTCACCACCGGCCCAGATACCCAGTCTCAGACGCATGGGGGTCTGGGGGAAGCGAGTGCCACCCTTGGCATCGTTGTAGGCAAGGGTGCGCACGACGTTGCCATCGATAGCCCAGGACATCTGATCCTTGGTCCAGTCGACCGTGTAAGTGTGGAAGGTGTCCTGAGGAGTAGCCACGGTCTCAAAGGTGGCACGGTCATAGGACGAGGTGTCGCCCTTGCCGAAGTAGTTGGTCTGGATCTGAGTGGTGTCTCCACCGAGAGCCTCCTATATTCCATCGGGTTAGCCTGATGCAATGTGTCAAGGAGCAAAGGGATAAGGGGGGGGGGGGGGGGGGGTGCGAAGGGCAACGAGGGGCGTCAACCTACCCAGTCAATCTCATCGAGGACGTCCGACTCGAGGACAATGCTGCTGACCACACCGGTTCCGGGCGCCGCTTTCATAGTCACCTCGACCTTGCCGAAGAATATGTGGAAATTGGTGTCGATGGTGGGAGCATCACCCTTCTTGTTGATGGTGAACTCGGCTCCATCCGAGCCAAAGGAGACCTTACCGCCGGTGGTCTTCCATTTGTCGAGAGCACCCTCGCCGCCAGTGAAGTCGGCGCTATACGAACCCTCGTTCAGACCGCTAACGGGGTCGCAGGTCTCTGTTGCATGTTAGTCCCCGTAGTAAACATAAGAGGTATGGATCGATTGCGGAGAAACCCACTCTTCAACGGGTTGCAGTCCGAGTAAGTCTGCGCCGAGGAGAAAGGAAGCACTGCGGACAGCGCAAGAGCGGCGTATTTGAAATGCATGGTGGCTAATTAATGTACACTGCTCTACACAAGAACGAGTGTGGGCGATGAAAGCCGGAAAGAGAAAGACGGACGAGGTCTAGGTCTTTTGAATAAATAGCAAGCAACCGTTGCACAGAAGCTAGGGTTGAACCGTGGAAAGAGAGGAGAAAGAAAGGGACGGCAAACAACAACAAAAAGAGCGACCGTCTAGTCTAGGTAATGATGACCTCGTTGCTTGGGAAAGAGAAAGTTGAGTGAATGGAACGGAAGGCGCTCGGTGACATGGAGTTACATTAATATAGGCTGGGTAAGGCAGGTACCCCATTAATCACTTGCGACTAGACCCGGACCATCCCCTGAACACTTGCACTAGAAAACTGCATTAAAACGAAAAAGAAAAAGAAAAAGAAAAAGAGAAAATAATGAAAAAGAAATATGGGGCAGAAGGAGAGTTTTCCAGCCCCAAGAGGAGTGCCATTGGCGGCGCAGTCGTTGGACCTCCCCCGGTCGAACCTGGCAGAGTTAATCCAGACAGGAACCGAGCGCTGAGAGGTCAGCGTCGTCACGACCTGGCGTGGTTAGACAATATGATTGACTGGCCTAAAGTCAGAGCAGCCGACCGATCCAGTGGAGCCCCCAAAGAAGGGTGGAGACTGGACCCATTGATGGCGAACCCCTCGTCCGCCCTGATAGGGGGTTTTGACCGCGACTGGAGACTCACCTCCCCACCGACGAGGATCGTTTATTGAACCTGAGCGGCCGGGGAAGGCAGCACCGCGCAACGGGGGAGTCCGACTGTCTGTCTGCAGCGGAGCCCGAGCGAGCAAAGCTTGTGCTTGCGGTGACTTTGTCCGCTTGCGTACGCGGAATATTGATTTATTTTCCCGTCCACGGTTGACGTTGCACTCGCACACGAATGGTACTCGCGGTCTTACCGGGGATTTCCTTAACTCGTTCTTCCATTACCAGGGAGAACGAGGGAGAGAGGACGGGGGGGTACGGGATGGAGTGCGCCTTGAAAGGAGGCTGGTGATCTTGGGAGGGGGCCAAGGGACAAGAAATCAAAGGGTCGCAACGCCAAGCGAGTCGTTACCACTGTTTACCGGGCGCGGGCGGGCGACAGGCGATACGATGCGATCAAACCCAGGACACCAGATCCGCTGCTGATCGTGTCAGAGACCTGTTGCAGGAGCGGTTGGCAGTCAGCATGAGGTGTCAGCCACGGAGTACAGATACAGTATGCGATGATGTGGGTGGTAGCCGCCGTGCGGAGACCAGAAAGTAGGAAAGTAGGGCTAATCCGACCGACGCAGGCGGAAGTCAAACGAGAGGCATGGGGAGGCCGACCGAACCACGGATCCGCATGCAGTCGAGATTCTCATCGATCCCAGATATTTTCTGAATTGAATTTACTTCGAGTCTGTCCAGAGATCATCGACTGTTGGAACCGAACATCCAGGAAGATCCAAGAACTATTTGCTCGGAGAAACCAGCGCGAAACGGAAGGTCACAACCGCGGAAGAATTGGCCCCGGTGACATGGTTGGACAAGAGGACTCTACGGAGTACAGGCCGAGGGAAGATAGTAGCGATATGATCCCACAGAGGACAATAGACCATCTCTACCGAGCACGTAAGTACGTAACAAAGAGTCTGAATCAGAATTCTCAGAGAAGTGCACGTCACGTCAATGGTGCTTTTGCTGGAGAATCCAATGGCAGATGGGTCTCTCCGTCGAGTGTGGGAAGTCCCGAGCCACCTGGTGGGCGCACCAGCACTAAGACTGCTAGTGGGAGCGAACCCACGGACTCCGAGGCATTTCTGGCAGGCCAATTCCTGTGGGACTGTGGAAACGGTGCAAGCGTGCTGCTTATCAGGCCAGTCCGACCGGTTAATAATAACCGGCGCGTCTGCGAGTCTGATCGCAATCTGAACCTGCATGGCCGGCAAAACATGGTTGCGTGGCCGTAGCCATCTGAGACAAGGATTTAATTTAACGTGGTGGACTAGATGCAGTATGCGATGTAACCAAGAGTAAGAGGGCTAGGATCTTCCCCAGGTCCGGTGTGCGCAGGTCCAGGAATTAATGAAAGCTGCGAACTAATTTCTTGGGGGTCTTGGAGGGGGGAAGAGTGACTAAAGGAAACAGAAGTCTTCCCTTGGGGTCTTGTCCCTTCCGGCAGGTCTCGTGCCGAGGATGCCTCCTGATAAATTAGGCATCCATAATTCAACCACCCAGTCAGGTGACTCCTGACTCAGCATTGCCCGCGGCCCGGATTAACTCAGTCCGGGCCATCACCTGATCCCCCCCTCCACCTCCCCCCCGCACCGCGTGGGCAGCGGCTTCCTGGTGATTCGATTGTTGTTGTTGGGACTTCCCCGTCCCGTTGGGTGATCATCGCCCGCCTCGTTGAATCCCCTCCTTTTCTCTCTTCACGGGCTTCTTCTCTCCCTTTTCTTCTCTCTCTCTCCTCCACCTACTTCGTACTTTCCTTCCAACAACACAACTCGCTGTCTTCCATCACAGAATATGGTCCACAAATCGTCCAAGTCCTCGCGCTCGAAAGCCTCTCGTTCTACATCGCCGAATTCAGACATGGACCGCAAGGTCTACATTCCGCTCTGCTTCTGCCTGATCTCGTTTGCGGTCCTGGTCTACACCAACTAATCCACGGCCGGTCGCCAGGTTTGAACGCAATCACCGAACCAGGCAATAATCATCCCTTCGACCCCAGTTACTATGGTCCTCTCTAGTCCTGGACTCCGTCCCGCGGTCGCAATCAGCCGCCGCGATGGAGGGAATCCTTATCGCCCCACCCACCACCTTCACCGACTCGATCCCTCGATCCACTCGCAACAATTCCGCAACCCGCACACAATCCGATTCTTCGATTTCTCGAGATCCATACGGACCATACCCTTCGGCCATGAGTCGATGCCCGCGAAAGAGCGACGATGGACAAATCCCGACCGTAACAACCCGCGTCGGGCCAGGCGCAACGAAGTAACTGCGACCGATAACTCTAGACACAGAACGGCTTTCAACGACTCAACAATCGAAATGGCCAAATACAATGACTTTGGAGCTTGAACCCCGCTCGTCTGGCACGGGTGGATTCTTGATTTTGGCTTCAGTAGTCTGCACGCTCGTGCTCCTCTTTCCTTATCTCTGCCTAGTTGATTCCCCCGCCTGGTTGCCCGGAGTAACTAGGCGCAAGACAGGAATGGAGGCTACAGAAACACATACCCCATATCAGTACATCATCCTGATGACTGCCATATAGGCTCGAATAGCCTGCCTTTCCTTGATTTTCTTTTCTTTTGAATTTCCTCACGCTCATCAATACTTTAAATAAATACCCCGGGCTTCTTCCACAGACTACCCTTGCGATTTCATATGTCTTGTTATGCTTGATCAGTGATCAGTGATCTATCTATATATCATTTCGATGATTATCAGTCAAACTATATCTACTTATTCATGGTCCAGGTACTACTAATTGTCTGTAAAACTTCGTTCGTTTAATCGGTAGCATGTCCTCTCCATCCGACTAGCAATCTTCAGTCTCCAGACCCCAAATCAAGCTAATGGCAATGCATTCCAATGCAACCTTAACCAGGTTGACAATCCCCAATACGGCCGGGCAGAGCCGATGGTAGAATAAATAGATCTTATCTGTAAGGTAGCATCCAGGCATTCTTGCCCATTCCACAGCCTCCAGGATTCATGAAGGATGCGAGAGTCTTACATAAATAAATGACATGAAACATGCACTCCAACACTGTCGCATCTCCAGCTAGCACCCCTCAGTCATCTCAAAAATAACAACCAACCAATGTCCCTCGGATGATCAGCCTGTGAATCTCGACCTGAAACGTCATCCCAACGCCAAGAGTAAGAGTAACCGTGAACCCTGCAAGTCGCAACTGCACAGAATGATGACATATGTATGGACCATGGAGCAGACATGCTGAAACACGCTAAAATCGGAAAGTTATCTAATGAATGGATCTGAATTCTGAAGATGTTGGCCCTTTGGCGTTGCAGCTTGAAAATTAGACAAATTTTGGACCCTGGATTAATCTTGCCCCTCCCCCAACCCAACCCCCTTTTTTTCGGGCGTTTCAGATATTCAGGGTCCGAGGGGTGTGACAGTTGGCACTTGGCGTGACACGAGAGACTTGTCAAGAAGTCTCGTCTCGTGGGGCGGGACTGGTTAGCGAGGGGTTCGGTGTTTGAGGGTTTGGATGTGGTTGATTTTGTTTCTTCAGGTTAAAGGCGCTACGCAATCTTCAGTATAGGATATTGGTTGAACGAATTGTCTGCTATTTAGTACGTAAGTGCAAAAATCTTGGGAATATCCGTCAATGTGGTTCTGTTTCCAATCAAACTGCACTGCCCTAGCAGTTCCAACGGGCTACATGCATGTTTGCCCCGGGGTAACGTCCTAGCTTGGTGGGTCTAGTCACACTGGCAAATGTAGTATGGGTAGGTTGCAACAGTCGGATCCGAGGCTTGAGAAACATGACTTCTGTATCGGTGGTTGCTATATCAACCAGTGCTTGTTGTATGGCAGACGGCCGACTGTGTGACATAAAAGGATATCAAGGCCGCCTACAGTACATAGATTATCGGGACGAATTGTAGGCGCCGGGATGCCCGGGGCATGCTACCAAGCATTTCGCTGTAGGCATCTTAGATAGGCAACACTGTGGAAGATCTCGCTTCTTCCTACATCATCCAATCAATCAATTCAGTGTTTATCAAGGCATCCTTCTATTCATTCCATCATCTTTGACCACTGCGGTGCATCCAGTCCCTGCAGAACTTGTATGCGAATGACTGAACCACTACGCAGCTAGATATGGTCATCTCCCAGTGGTAGTCAAGTTACTTCTTTCTTACCAGGATGGAATCAGCACAACCTGCTTGAGACGAAACAATACTGCCCCTTGCCGCCTCAAAAAGCATTCCATGCATGTCCCAACCAAATATAGCCGAGCTCATGCCGAAGTCCGCATCGATGATTGAGAGGAGCTTCTCCTTCGACATGACCTTACCGCAGAGCTGGCCATCGTATCGACTAGCTACCCGGACACGTTCGTCATCTTTCAAAATCTCTGCAAGAAACGGGTAGAGCTGTTTCAGTTCTTTCAATTTCGGACTGCCTGGTTGAAGGTTGATTTCGAGCTTACGTAAAGTTAGTGGGATTTTCTTCCAACAGAGGGAGGAAATCAGACGTGGGAAGTTTCTCAGGTTTTCTCTTCTTGCAAGAGGCAATACCTCAACTGCTAAATTAGGACGCCGGCGAACCATCGAAAGCACGCCTAGCTATTAAACCTCTTTTATCTCGACCTGTAACCTGTCAGGAGGCCCTGGCTGCTGTGCAAGCCCTTCCTCCTGGAGCAGCGACCTGGTCAGACGACTCAAGTTTAAAGAATGGTAGAACTGGAGCAGGGATTGCATAGCAAAACCCAGGAGGGGCTTGGAAGATCCGCGGTCTCCCGTAGAAAAAGAAATAAGGTCTTTAATGTGGAACTCCTTGGCCCTTGGGGCCTGGCTTATTGCGTCGTCATTAAAATAATTGAATATCCCATGTCTCTGACGTACGAGTCCAATGCCTACAGGCTGCAAGAAAGACCAGAGGTCATAGGCTAGTCACTATCCTACTACTCCCAGACTGCTATTACCAGGTTGCAGCATATTTAAGCTGGGCCAGAACAGGCCTTATCAACCCAAAGCATACCTTAAAGCCCAGGAATTATAGGCACAGTGGACCAGCCAACTATATAATAGGTTCCAGGCATGTTGGCCAGGGGACTCAGTTACTACTTGACTTCAGTTTTGCTGCGAATAACAGTTAAACACTAGAGAAGTGCTGTACCTTACAATCAGATATTATTTAATAAGAAAGGAGCCTCATGATAATTTGGAATCATCGTCTATAGTGATAATAGTATTATAATAGTGATAATAAAGAACAACAGAGTAACATTGGATGTAAGATTATTTTCAAGTGACAGCAGACAACGATCATCAAGATATTACGTCTTTTGCTCTCTGTCTTACAATGTTAGATTATAGGCCCCTTTTGCATGCTCAGAGCGCTAGTAATACACCGAATCCTTATCTAAAGACACAACAGTTATATCTAGTAACTGCTCGGACTGACCCTTGGCTGGCGACACGCGCATGGCAAGCTGCTATTTTCAGCTGAAGTCGGGGCACGCAGCCGTGGGGACATATCGACACCGGACCCACCCCCGGGACGGCACAGTAAGAGCACCCCCTAGAGACTCGAAATCCCTGCGCATGCAGGCGCCTTGGGCCGGGGAAAAGGATTAGAATGATTATACAGGAGGGCATGCCCCTGGAACTCACAGGGACAAGAGGATACGGGTTAGTTGCTGGCCTCAGGTTCATGGAATATGGTCCGTCATAGCTTGATAGCTCGATCTGGACAACCAACTTGATTAAATAATAATAATGAATTTTGCAAGGCAGTAGTATCAGTTGAGTTCTTCGAGAATACCGACGGGCAGTCATTTGACCAATAAGAGGAAGCAGTTTGAGGTTATCGAAAGAGGCATCTTTACTAAAATCAGTAGCAGCAAAAAAACGCTTCCTGGTAAAAGACTGCCGGGTACGAATGGACAAGAACGGGAGAACAACAAGACCTCAGACGAACTAGGGCTCTGATATTTCCTAATTCCCACACATTTGGTATAAATACTGAACCCCCGTTGTTATCCGTGTTTCCCTCTCTACCATCTCCACCCTCGCCTCATCTCACTCGCCTCATCGTCTGCCTTCATACCGACCTAAATCTGACAGTTTCGGTGCGAAGATGCATTTCTGTTCTTAGGCGTGGTTACTCGCTACACTGAATTGGTGGTTTGAAAAGGCCGATAAACACGCCCTAGGACCCAGAAACAGCAACAAAAAAAAAGAAAAGAAAAAAGAAAAAGAAAAAGCGTCCAAGAAATTCCGGGCCAATCAATTGCCTGGGCCAAGATTGTGTCACCATGAATAGCGAGCGACATGGGATTTAGCACACCCGAGCTTCCTGCCTCAATAAGCTCTCAAACCATGGATCACTTCGTGACGAAGAACTCGCAACTCCGCTCCTTCTGAACTTCGTCTTCCTGCCTCCTCAGCACAACTCACTCCGAGGAAAGTACAGCCTGTGCACAAACTCAACAACTCTCGAGGATAATTTCTCTTGTGAGTAATCCTAGAACATAACTACCTTCGTGACACAACCTGAACAATGGCAGACAAATCTAAGCTCGTTCCGGCTTCACCGGTCAGCGGAAAACGTCGCTCCACTCCTCTCGCCTCACCCTCAGGTACCGTCGAATCTTTGCGCGCAGCGCGCGTAACGTCTCTCCGTGTCGCTATGTCATCTCCGGGGGGAACTGTATCATCTGGCACGTCACGGTTATCAGCAGGGAGCCCTGTTCCGAAGTCCGACGCATTTTCTGAGGCTGTTAAACTCGAAATCAAAAGACTCGCGGATAATCAGTGTTGGGCGTGTCTGGCGCCAATGACACAGGTCTGTCATGTGTTTGGGAAGCTCGACCCTCAAGTAGGCAATATTGCCTCTATAGTTTGAATGAAACGCTGCTAATGAACATCACGTCCAGTTAGGACTATGGTATAGTCAGAATCTCATCGACTTTTGTCTATCCTCAAAAGATAACGGAATTGCATTGTGTCCGCTATGTCACAACTACTTTGACCAAAGTACCGACCCGGGATTCGTTTTTCTGCCTACTGATTTGCAGTATTTTATCGAATTCGAGCTCAATGACCATGATCAAAGGAAACTAGGAGATGGTCGTTGTCGAAAGGTTCCCTCTGCTGAGGACTATAGGATGCATCAGTTAAAGAAGGATGAGATCAATGTGGAGTCAGTCGGTGGGCTCTACCGCCCGATTTTCCTTCAAAACTATTTGGTCGGAGGTCAACTTTCCCCTGAACAATTGGAATCCCTTTCGACTCCAAAACCATGGCATGGTGCCCCGATAGGAACCCTGCGACGCGGCATTCTAGTACTAGGAGGAGGTCGAGTACGCTCTCTGGATGACCAAACCCGTTTACAACTCGAGTCACTCCGGGATCTGTACTTCCTAGACAGCGAGCCCTCACCATCCGCTCTTATTGACGGCAGACAGCCAGCGTCAGTGGCAGAGCAAGGGGATAAGAGATCAGCCGAGGATGAACTGGAGGGGCCGAACAAGAGGTCAAAGTTTCAGGACTCAGTGGGCGTACAGAAAAACAAGGCTGGGTTTGAGAACATTAATTACTCACACTGTCCTAATCATATTGACTTCTGCCGGAAATGGGTATTGGGTCCCGACTTCACAGCAGCTCAGGCAGTTCAGCGATATGCTTCCATCCTCCATGAATGAGAGTTAATATTGTTTTAGTCCTACAGGTTCCTTCATCTTCCATTCTTCTCATGATAAACGAGTGCCCTGTCGTAAGCACCACGTTGTATATCTTAGTTTTCTGCAAGGCTCTATTTAGACAGTTTCTTGGAGACATCTGTAGTTTCCAACAATCTTATTATCTATGAAGATTTCGTATCCTGCTCTTATAGTAGTATAGTAACCAGATGATATCCTTTTGTCATGTGCTAATAAAGGCGTTCATACCCCGCAGGCACTTAAACTGGATACTGGGCTTCTGGCTGTCCACTTCTATATTTGGCATTGCAGGGTCGCTCGTGGGGCTCTCGTCTTGTACATGACGCACTTGGGGCATATATTTTAGCGCGTTGGGAGGCAATTTTATACCAGAACACTAGCCATCTTGAAGGCCACCAAAGCTCTCTTGACTTTATGGTTGGGTAAGTGTTCGAAAATCTCGCTAGAATTGAAGGTACTAAGTATCGATTGATATAGTCTTTTTATAATTATATTAAAAAATCTTCGTCTGCTGCAGTTTGAACAGCATAAAATCTAGGCCAGGGATGGAGGGCCTGATCAATGATCACCAAACCAAAAGTATCGATATCTTGCTGATCCAGAGAGCACCAGTCAAGGTATACCGTATCCATGACAATTACAGCGCAGCTCTACCGTCTAACATATAGAGGAATTAACGCTATACTGCAGCCTTCTTTACATGAATAAGAAAATCTTAACTTTATCGTATCGCCAGATTCGTTACAACTGTTCGGACGTTGTAGCAGTAAAAATCGGGACCCTAGAACAATTTCTTCTTTTCTCAATATAAATCCTACCGGTACAGTTATTTGATGCCCTAAAATAAAGCCCATCAGCAGCCGCTATAGGCGAGATCTGTACTACCATTCAGCGAAATACCGATGGAGTGGACAACCCAATATAAATACTATCAAAATTTATGGAGATGTAGTAGAACACTGTAACTAGAGATAAAAGGTTAAATATAGTTGTGGTAGACTACATATCATCTATGGCAAGGGGTCGGGCTAAATAGCGGTACAGAGGCCTCCAGCTCGTCTAACAGCGAGGGACGCAGCCAGCCGCACACAAGCCTCTCAGAGAGGTATATAAGGTCCGTTAGTAGACCTGCGAGCGTCCGTAATCGCTCAACAGTCCGATTTCAATTGGGATCTACGCCGCCGCACGCCGGTTCGCAAGAAATAATTCCTACAGCCAGTGGACCCTCAGATAATGGGATAGATTTTGCTGCAGACGGAGTGGATGCGCCTCCGCAGCCTGACCGGGAGAAAGCCGGTCAGCAGAGCGAACCGGAGATGCCTGCCCCAGTGACCCCAATGCCTAGAGGTTGCCGGGGACGAAGAAGTGGTTTGCAGAGCGTTACCTCGCCTAAAGGAACGCGCCGGAGTGTCCGTACCCAGTCCGCAACACGGCAGGAAACCTCACATTTAGCTATCATACCAGTTGACTTACTAACCGGCGATACATCACCCACGAAACGATCCCGCAGTAGAGTAGCATACCGAGAACGATCGACCTCGGCCAGCGAGACCCCTACCGTCTCCCTCCCGAAGTCCCCTGTACTAACTACTGTACCTACTACGGCTCCTATCACGAGGGCCCGCTCAGTATCACGGAAACGCACTAGGGCTGATCGATTATGATCAAGCCTCTTCACATCCTCCAATATAATACGAATCGATTTAAAGACAAGGTGATGGCACAGTTCCTCCAGGACCCTGTGGTCCTAGAGGCTGACCTCATCTTTGTGCAAGAACCTCCGGAGAACCCCTACCAGGATACCACCTACCATCCTGCCAACGGCTCCCACCAGCTCCTATACCCAGATTCGACCGAGATAGGGGACGAGCGGGCCCGCGTGTGCCTCTATATATTACGCCAAATCGATCACCTGAAAACATACAGCGCATTCGAAAGACGCTCAGGAGCTCGAGCTCACGGATGCCGAAGGCCAACAAGTGCGCATCTTCAACATTTATAATTGACCTAACAAAGTAGATAGCGTTACTCTCAATCTCGTTACCTCCCTAACTACCCCTACCGGCCCCACTAACAGCTCTACTAACCCCCGTTTGCTCCTGTTGGGCAACTTCGATCTCCACTACCCGGCGTGGGGGGGGAGAACGCTCCGAGAGACTCCTCGTCTGACCAGTTGCTGGAACTGACGGATACGAGGTACCTGGACCTCTGGCTAGAGCCAGGCACTACCACGTGGGAGCGCAACGGAAACAGAACCACTATCGATCTAGTCCTCCTAACCCCCAGGCTCGTTGCCTGCGAGGTCAACGAGCGAGTCCACGCAGATTCGGACCACTATCCCATACGAACTCTTCTGGATATCAGCACTGAAACCCCTGAGGCACAGCGACGAAAGAACTGGAAAACCTGTAGTGTCAAGGACCTGCAGAGCTTCGTGGACCTTAACCTACAGAGTAAGGCCTTTCCCTTACAAACGAAGCAGCATATTGAGCTCGCTATAGAATACCTTATCGAGACAGTCAACCAAGGAATCGCTACCTCTATCCCGTGGGCGAACCCTTCATTCAATGCGGAATGTCGCAAAATGGTCAAGATCACCCAGAAATTCTGGCGTAATTATACAGAATCAGTTATTTCGAACAGCCCTACCGACCTTACTACAGGCCTCCGGTAGGAGCGCTATACCAAAGTCAGGAACCGCAAAGGAAAGGTATTGGCTAAGGTACTGCGCCAGGGCCACCGTTCCTAGGTCCGCAAGGCTATCGAATCAGGCCCTCGAGGCATGTAGAGGGCGGCTAAGTGGGCCAGGAGCAAGGAAACCCGCGGAAGCCTTATACTGACGTTAAAGACGGATGACGGGCTCGCAGAGACTGCAGAACAGAAAGTAGAGGCATTTCGCAAAGCCTTCTTTTTCGAATTACCCCCGGCCGACCTCTCTGACATCTCTACGGCCCGGATACCCCCCTAGATCGATTTCCCGGACTTTACCGAGCACGGTGCTCCGTTGCATCAGGCAGGCGCCTCCCGATAAAATACTAGGGCCGGATGGCATCCCTAACAAGGTCTGGCACTGGCTGAGTAAGGTCTCCTCTTTCCTCACTGTACTAACGCAGATATTTAACGCGTGCCTACGTCTTGAGCACAACCTGGAATACTTTCAGTAATTGACTACTGTAGTACTGCGTAAAATACTCTCCCGGGATTATTGCCTCGCCAAATCCTACCGACCTATAGCGCTCCTGAATACCTTCGGTAAGATCCTGGAGGCCGTGGCTACAGTACGGATCGCCTGGGCCCTGAAAGAGCGTAATCTCCTACCTAGAAGCTATCTAGGGGGCCGCAGGGGCATCTCAGTCGACTACCTGATCCAGTTGCTCCTTGACCAGATCTTTGAGAACTGGGGCAAGGGCCAAAAGGTCAGTATGTTACTCTTAGACGTAGCTGGCGCCTTCGACAACGTTTCGCATATACGGTTCCTCCACAATCTACGTATGATAGGGCTCGGCTTCTTCGCCGGCTGATTCAAATCCTTTCTATTGAACCGTTCTACAAGGCTGCAGTTCCCCGGATATCTTAGCAACCTTATTTTAACCCCTACCGGGATCCCCTAGGGGCCCCCTATATCGCCGATCCTATTCCTCCTATTTAATACCCCCCTCATTCGCGCCCTATCGATTGACGGTATTGAGGCCCTTCGGATTCAACCACCCCTCCTAGAGGGAAGCAAGACGGTCTCCTACGGGTGAATTGACGATGTTGCCATCCTGGCCATCTCGGATAGCTACGCGGTCAATCAGTGCCTTCTGGAGAGGGCCCTAGACAAGGCCGCGGTATGGTCAAAGCAGCATTCGTCCAAATTTGCCCCTGACAAGTTCGAACTTATTCATTTCAAGAACCAGTTTCGCTAGGACCCTGCAGTAGAACGATCCGTACCGCAGGAATATATATATACTGAGCCGTGGCAGGGGGAGGACCCAGAGGTTGACAATTGGGATCCTCCAGTGGAACCCCCTGGTCACGACCAGCTGCCCATCAAGGACCACGCAACCAGCTTATCATCAAGCCGGTGAAGCACGCCAAATACTTAGGAATCTGGCTCGATAGGACCCTTTCGTTCGACACTTACAGGGTTAAGACCCTTGCTAAGGCGAACGGGACTTTGGAAGCCCTCCGCAGCATCTCAGGCTCGACCTGGGGGACCTCCCTGCTGAGCATGCGCCGCATCTACCTGGCAGTGGTAGTCCCCTAGCTGCTCTACGGGGCGGCTGCCTGGTATAGACCTACGAGCCGGACGGTCAGTTACAAGAAGCTCCAGAAGACGGTTAATGAATTCCAGAGGATTTAAACCCGCGCAGCTGTTCTTATCAGTAGCGCGTTTCGTAATATGGCCTCGATCGCGCTAGAGGTAGAGCTTTACTTCCCCCCTATGCAAATACAGATGTAACAAACCATTCAGGAAACGGCCATTCGGATCCAAACCGGGCCGGCTATGGCCTGCCCCCGGGGGCTGTGCTGGGAAAGGTCGAAGAAGCATTTCAGGCCTCCGGATACTCTCCGATGGAGGCACTAAAGTGGAAGAAAACAGGTCCGCTATATGCATACAGCGGCAGACAAGAGGAGTGGGAGACCAGACGGGCTCATGTACTGGCCCCGTAGGAGTTGCCCCTGAGGTATATCATTGAGGGGGCAGAGGAAGCAATTCAGACCTACGATAGAGTCTGCCGCGAGGACCGGCAGATCTGGTATACAGACGGAAACGGCTATCAGGGGATAATCGGAGCTGCCGCGGTCTCTATTCGAGCAGGAAAGACCGCCAGGAAGTACCTAGGAACGGAACTGAACTCTACAGTCTACGTGGGGGAGTAAGAAGGGGCCCAAATGGCCCTAGATCGGGCGAAGCCAATCCCGATCACAGTCTTATCAGATAGCCAGGCAGCTATTTAAGCCGTGTGCAACCCTGGCCGGCCATCGGGCCAGTACGCACTGCGGGCTATCTACGGGAGGATTAGGGCCCTGCAGAGCGAGGGCCTGAAGGATGCTGAACTGCGTTAGATCCCCGCTTACATCGGGGTAGAAGGAAATGAAAAGGCAGACAAGGCAGCCAAGAAGGCTGCGATAAGAGGAGTTAAATTAAGCTCAGTGAGGCTGCGGGATCGACTGATTATACGACTCGCAGCTGCAGCTAAAAGAGATATCCGTTAACGCTTGCGTACGGAATGGACAAAGCAGTAGAAAAGGCAGAAAGTAGACAGGCCGACGAAGCAGCTGCTATCTAAACTAGACAAGAAGAATCTACGGCTTTACGAGTATTTCAGTAAGCTGTACACCTCGATTATTATTCAGATGCGCACTATAAGGATAGGATTAAGGCACTTCCTCTATAAGATTAAACAGGTCGACTCCGACCGGTACGCCTGTGACCTAGGGTCCCAGACCCCTAAGTACGTCCTTCTGGAGTGCTCGCTGCACACGGCCGGCCGGAGGATAATAATAGATTATCTTAATCAGATAGAGAGACTGCGTAGGCGTATACAGGATTACGACGCAATTATAGCACACCCGCAGGCAATCCGCTACGTCGCTGAATTTATGCAACAAACAGGCCTCCTTTAACAATTCCGATTCGCTTGACTGGACGAGGAGGACGACGAGGAGGCTCCAGAACCTACTACCCTGCTAGAAGGACTCGAACTAGGCGAGGAAGACGATGGTTACATGGAACTTTAGGGGGCGGCCTGGGTCAGGCCGC